GGATGGCAGACGTGGCCTGTGGGCTCACTGTCACTCACCCCTTCAGACAGGGCTCTGAACACACTTGAGGAAGCTTCTGGAAAGGTGCCATGGGTGGCACCACCCCAACCCTGCCAGAAAACGTTACACACAGTGGTGATTGAACTGGCATCTGCCCTTGAAGAACAGCTACGCCAAAGCCCCGGCCCAAAGCCCTCAGGGCCGCACGAGGCTCGCAGACCAGAGCACAGCGCATCTGGTTAGTTAATAGGAGGTTGCAATTAAGGTGGGCTCCAGAACTCGACTGGTGTCCTTACGAGATGGTCACGTGACAACAGAGACTGGAGGGGACCGGCACATGGGAGGCCAGAGGCAGGGACTGGAAGGAAGCAGCCACCAGCCCGCTGGAAGTGAAGGGAGGAGGAAGACCCCCTGCAGCTCCCAGGGGCCCAGGGCCACGGCAGCACTGGGCTTCTGACTCCCGCAAGGTGGAGAGAAGGGGTAGGGACAAGAGGAGCTATCTGGGGACTGCACGGTGAGCTTTACGTGAGGAAGCAGCCGGCGAAGAGCAGAGACGAGCTGCAAATCCTCCGCCGAAGCCAATGCTTGCGTTTGAAGATGGGCCTCCAAAGAGATGGGGTCCAATTAGGTCAAGAGGATGGGGCCTTATTCCAACGTTAGACCGGCATCTGATGGGGCACCAAAGATGGGGTGAAATCGCTGATAAGGAGAGCGCTCTCCCCGGACAGCCCCAATGGACGTCTCATGATGGCAGCCCTCGTCAGAGCCCCACCTACGCCTGCCCGCGGTCAGATCTGTCCCCCTGGGGCTGGCCAGCTCCTAAAGGACAGTGCCTGTCCCTGTGAAAGACAGAGTACCAACAGGAAACAAGTCCAATTTCCCAAGTTAGGAGTTAGTCTCCCTTTGATTCTTTCCCCCCTCAATGAAAGATCAAGTGTTAAGGAAACCATCTGGCAGAGCGGGTTGAGGCTTCCAGGCCTGAGCTGGTGAGCCCAGCTCTGGATTCCTCTGCATGGTGGCTGTCCAGGGACCACGCCCAGCTGGGGACAGAGGCTGCAGGAGGGGAGGGAGGGATCTGGGTGTGCTGTGTGCGCGTGTGTGGCTGGTGCATGTGTGGTTTCTGGCACTGGCTTGTGAGGGTCACCACGGCGGGACACCACACAAGGCGTGGTCCTCCGGGATGGACACTAACAGCAGGAACAGGAGCTTCGTGACCCCATCAGATTCTTTCCTTTGAGCAGGAACAGGGAGCCAAGGTCAAGATGGACCCGAGCGATGTGGAGTTTCTAGCATGCCTCTGGTGGAGGGGGTGGGGGTGGGGGGCTGCCCGTCCCCACACCAGGCCAGGAGTACACCTGACCTGGAGGAGCAGACAGAATCCAGCACGCAACGCCGTGGCCCTCGGAAGGTGGTGGAGTAACTGCTCTATGGTGCTTCACCCCTGCACCACCTGCATGGAAGTCTTGATGTATAGATGGCTTTGCTGACCGTGAAACTGAACAAGAAGCCGATGGTTTCTGGAGCACAACAAGGACCCCCACACAAACACGAACCCGCATGGATCGCCTGGACGCACGGAGGGCCGGGCTAGTGGTCAGATGGACAATCGAAGCCTCTTCTCTTTCCAAAGAATGAGCGGACACATTCTCCTCTGGGGAGTCCTCTGCGCACACACTGAGGCCCGTCAGAGGGGAAGGGTTTCAGATTTAAATATAAAAGGGGCTACTGGGGCTGGGGGTTTAGCCCAGCGGAAGGGCGCCTGCCTGGCCACGCGCAAGGCCCTGGGTTCGGTTCTCAGCCCTAGTTAAAAAAAAAAAAGGGGGCTACTACGAGGCCAGGAGGAGCCAGGGAGACCCCGAGCCTGGAGCATTAGCGATCTTGGAAGGTGAACCCGTGTCAGAAAGATGGAGGAGAGAGGAGGAGGTGACAGGGCTCTCCCTGAGCCCCCCGGCCCTGCCATCGACCCCAACCTGATGGACCCACAGACAATCACCGAGGCGGCCCCCCTGGGTCCTGCCAAGGCGTGGCTGGGCCTTGGATGAATCCTGGAAGGGGGAAGGCGAGGCAAGAGGCCGTGGCGGCTCACCCGCCCAGCTCTTCCCATCTGCGTACGCTCTTGGTACCAGGGCCCACGACTGAGCTGAGAGGTTCTGGAAGGATTTGAGAAGCTAGTGGTTGGACTTGGGCACTCACTGGGCAGCTGGGCAGAGTCCAGGCTGTGCCCAGCACGGCCCACGGTCACAGAGCTGGTCTGAGGAGGGGCCTGCGCGGCAGGCAAGGCTCCGTACACCGGCCCCCAGGATGCTGGGGCTCCGGGGCTCCCAACACGCCTGGGAAGTATCCAAGATCTACGTGTGGGGAGCCACAGGCCCCGAAGATGAAGAGGAGGAATGGCCTGGGAAAGGGGGTGTCTCCGCAGGTGGTAAGTGGAGAGTGACACCAGAGGGCCGTGGACGGCCGGCTCGGCTCTGGGGTCACTGCCACCATTCTTTCTGGCTCCCAAGCAGGCGGGGGCCCAGAGCTCAGGGCAGCTGGTGGTAGCCAGGGTGCAGGAGGCCCTGCACGTTGGGCTGGATTTTGAGTCAGCTCTGGTAGGTTTGTGGCTCCCAGGTCCCATTATACCACCAAGAATGGGCAGCCTCTACGGAGTCCCGGCCTCTAAGGAGGCCACAGACCAGCCCTGCGCCTCCCGCTGCGGCCCGGCGGCCTGCGCGCTATCGCTGTGCTGGGGGCAGATGTCTCTGGTGGGTCAGGTCCCCTCAGCGGGGTCAGGGACAAACCACGGCAAGGCTCTCCTCACCCCTCTCTCTCCCACACCCCAGTGGCTCCCAGCGACCTTCAGGAAGGACAGTCTGCCAGCCCGGGCGGGGAGCAGGGCGAGGGACAGGCAGAGGGGACACGGAGCAATCACACACAGGCCAGGGGACCCCGGCTCCTAACAGAGAGGCCACCCAGGGACCCAGCACGGGGCTAGAGAACGGCCAGCTCCACACACTCCCACACCTCCACACTGGGGCTCCTGCAGCGCCACAGACACATCCTGAGACCCCCCACAGGCCCCTCAGATCCACATCCGCCTTGGAGGAGGAAAGAATGTACCAGAACCCCCCCCACCCAAGGCCCTCGCCTTCAGGGAGTGTCACAAACACTACCGAGCTGTAGGGAGAGGTGAGGTCGGGTGACATTCTCACACGGCAGGAGACGAGACAGGACTGGGGTCCCCAGGGGGCGGCCCTCAGGAGACATGTGGGGCTGTTCGCTGCCCTTTGGGGGTGGAACACAGGGGCACCCCTGCCTCTTCAGGCCGGGGGTGGAGCCTCTGGAAACAGAAGGTTCCACAGGAAGCACCCCCTCCCGCCTTGACCTTGACCTAGTGGCCCTGACCCAGCCCGCGCAGGGTCCTGATGTCTGCCCCGCCTTCCCAGGACCCTCAGCACGGAGAAGAGGAGCCGCCGTGCTGCGCCCTGCGGCAGGCCGGTGCAGCTCCTCCCCGTCCAGCTGGGAGGAGGACAGACAGCCCCAGTCCACACGGAGATGCAGACAGACGCACGCACGCTGACCCGTCCGAGGGCCCCCCCCCTCCCCGGCCTCCCATCCCAGCCTCCCCGGCCTCCCATCCCAGCCTCCACGGCCCACTCCACGCTCAGCCTGCAGCTCTCTTCTCCCCACCCCCGGCCCCCCGCATCTCACAGGGCGACACTGTCTTCCCGGGGGGCGCACACGTCTGGGGTGGGGGCGTGCGTGCTCCCAGGCTGGCCGGGGGGGGCCTCTGTGGGGAGCTGTGGCCTCCTCGGCTGGCAGAGGGCAGAGCAGGGAGGGAGAGGCGGCTCGCCGAAGCGGAGGCAGCTGGCACTATCCCCACGCTGACGTCACAGCCTGGAGTGGAGAGAAGGGAGCACTGTGAGAGGACTCGCACGGGTGGCCAGGCCGGTCTGTGTGGCTCTAGGAGGACTTGAGGTGGACTGCCCCTGTCCCCCGAGGACCTGCTACCTGACAAATGCTGCACATCCCCAACTCACTCACACCTGGGGACAGCCTGAGATAGAGCAGGACATTTCCTCTCAGGGGAGAGCATGGGAGCTCAGAGAGGTCCAGTGCTTTGTCCCAGAGTGCACAGCAGGAAGCATCTTTGAACCCAGAACTCTCCTAATGGTAGCATACGGCCTCTAGGCATTTTGTGAACACGTGCGCAAACAAGCTTGCTGCCCACTGCAGAAAAAGGACTTCATTTAGTTTGTTCCCAGCTCTTAGAATGGAGGCTCCCAATATGTGTTCTATACACATAGGTCCCATAATAATAAAAAGAACGCAGGAATGAGTGAATAAATTCCAGAGTCTAAAGTCCTATGATGCCAGATCACCACTTGCTCCGTGTCCCCAGCCCAGCTCCACGGTGGAATCTAGGAAGGAAGAGCCCTGCCTTCTTTTCCCTCCAGACAGCTTTAAGTCCTTCTGTTCAGTTGACCTCCATCTTCTCCTCCTGACCCCTAGGACGGCAGGGGTCACTGATAATGAGCCAACTGGCACAGGAGCCGGGGCCCGCCCTGGGCAGCCTCACAGAGCCTGTCTGCCTCACTTTCTGGATTGTCTGGAGGCTGGGTTTGGGAGGGGGCGCGGGGAAAGATGCTACACTCGGGGAGAACCAGATCTGCAACCCCAACAGGGAAGGGGAGGGGTGTGGAGCCTCTTCATAACACGGCAGAGGTCCCTCAGGCCAGAAGCTGGGAACCTTTCCAGTGGGGAATGCTGGGAGCCCAGAGCGGCCGTGATGGGCAGGCCGCTGGGCTGAGGGAGATCGCTACGCTATCAAGCCTCACAGGGGGGCTAAGTCATGAAGGCTCTGTGGTAATCACAGGCAGCCTCCAAGGTCCAAACTCCACAGCAGACTCACTGGACAGAGAGAGACCTGGTTGGGAAGCAGGTGGGGTCTGAGGGTGCAGTACAAGGAGGGGCTGGCTGGCTCCCACAGGCAGGGGAGTGGAGCTCAATGGTATTGAAGGTCACAGGACAAGGCAGTGGATGGCGCTGTAGAGAGAGGAAACGTACTCTGCAGACTTCCAGAAATGTCCAGGGTGAGACAGGCGGCGGTTTCGCTTCGGCAGTTTCTCCAGCATGTCCATGAGCTTGGTGAAGGTGGGCCGCTCCTCCTGCTCGAAGGCCCAGCAGAAGAGAAGAATGTCCTACAGACACCAGTGGGTGGCGGTTAAAATGCGTGCCGACTTTGTTGGCTCCTCATTGAAGTACTGGCACTTTGCACCTCATAGGGTCTGTCAGTCTGTCTTTCTGCCTCACATCCTTCTCTCTCTGTCACCATTCATCCGTGTGCTCAGCCACTCACCTCTCCATCCCTCTGTTCACCCACAAAGCATCCATCCATCCATATCAATTCACTCATCTTTCTTCTATCATCCATCTACCCACCCATATATTCTTCCATCTATCTATCCATCTGTCCATTCATACATATGTCCATCCATCCATGCATCCACCAAACAGAATTCATAAAACCATCCAATCATATTAATTCACTTACTCATTTTTAATCTACCATTATCCATCCATCCATCCATCCATCTATCCATCCATCCATCCATCAATTCATCCATTCTTCCTACTTACTTTCTGAGCCCATACAATAAACCAGGTAGGCTCTATGCTACCAAATATCAAGATCAATAATAGTTCCAAATGTATTTCTCAGCATTTTTCTCAAAAAACAAAAAGTGAGGGGGTAGAAGGAAATGCTGAAGTCTCTTGCTACACCCTAAAGATGTAAGTAACCTTCAAAGTCACAGAGGAGGAAAGTTACTTTTTTGTAGTCCTCACCCGAGAGGAAACCTGCAGGCAGGTAATCCTGACAGACACGCCAGGCCATTACTGCTCCTCTGACTTATCTTTTGATCAAAAGAGAGGATTCGTCCCGCTGTGCCTAAGAGGAAAGTTATTAATTTATAATCAGGCTTCTCTGTGTCTACCTTGCTCTGAGAGTTAGATAATGCCTTAAAATTATTATAGGGATGAAGATGAAGTGAAAAAACCAATCATATTTCTGATATTTTAATCAATATTTCTTGAAGGAAAGAAAAGAGACTGGCTGGTTCCGAACTCAGCCAAGTCCACTGCTAAGATGCAGTACGGCTAGGTGTTAGTGCGCCCCTGGTGGCAAGCACCTGGAATTGCAGGCATAGTGCAGAGACTGCTGGAACTCCCAGGCCCTAACTTCACAAGGCTGTGGGTGCTATTTACTTTGTCTGGAACCTTCTGGGGCTATGCCTGCTTTTCCCCTTGCCTGTGGCCCTGCAGGATGGAGGGACTTACCGAGATTTCTTTTCCCAAGCCAATCTGGCTGAGGTTGGGTTTCATTCCTGTCCCCATCTGCCAGATGATGGCCTCTGCTGGCTGGGTCTTGAAAGGCCACTCCCTGGCGTGGAGTTCATACCAGATCGTGCTGTTGGCAGATGTTAAAAGGAGGTGATGTGCGATGTCCCTCGTGACCCCACGTCCCTTTCCCTGCCAGCGCCACCTGCCCAGCTGTGCTCCTGGCTGACCTCTCCTCCTCTCCCTAGTCGTTTCCTCTCGGGGTTAACATTTGCCCCCTGGACCACACTTGAAGCTTCCCCACGTCTCCCACACCGTGCCTTTCCCCGGATACCTTCTTTGATGCCAGACACCTTTGTCATAAAGGGAGTGACGATTTTGGGGGCGCACCCCAGCAGTGATGGGAGGTGTGTGCTAAGGCACCTCTGTGCTGGGTGGTGGAGACTAGGCCCTTTCTTTGCCAGAGCTCTCTCCTGGGCTGAGTGCCTGACAGAGGGATTTCCCCCTCCCCAACCTTTACATGGCCTGCGGGGTGGGGGAGGAGATTAACCGTAACTTGAGCTGAAAGCAGCAGGGCTCTGGGTGGACATGGAGTATGGAGTTCAAGGTGAACAGCTGGAGTTTGGAGTCTGGGGCTTGGCTCTGAGAGATCTCTGGCTGAGCCAAATGGACCCCAGTCTCCCCTCGACCCACTCAAAATGGGAACCACACAGCTCTGGCTGAGAAAGGGTGAAATTTCACAACACTCAATAGACTTCTGAAAGGCTTTTTTCCCCCTAAGTCATCCCTGCGCTCCAGGTTCCCAAGCAACAGGATGCTCCTAAATGGCAGGAATCCAAGAGCGCCGGGGCCTTCGCACAGCAACAGTGTCAGAAATAAGAGCCTCATTAAAACTTCCTTTCAAGACCAACTTTTAAGAGAAATCTACTTTGAGAGGACTTTTTTTTTTTTTTTGCTAAAGATGAAAACTCTTCATGGAAAACCAATTACTTACTTTGGTACATTTTGTTAATTATGTTTTTTTCCCCCCTTTTGCTAAACTGATACTAAAATACAGCGGCTTAATTACTGCAATTTAGTTTCAGATGAACGGTATCTAACTGGATAAAGATTTGGGCATTAACTAATCAGGGCAAGTGACAGCTCAAAAGAGGCCTAAGTGACAGGTGTTAAGGACTCTGATCTTGAACCACCCGGGGGCTGGGGGGTGGTGGTGGTGGCAGTGAGGTACTATGGAGCAACTATCTAACATGTCTCAGGGATCCATGTCTAAGTGAACACATCTGCTGGACTGCCACTGTCCCTGCCAGCGTCCCCAGCCCTTGAATCTACCCATAGATAAGGCAAGGACTGGCGTGGCCATTCAAAGAACGGGGCACAGGCCGCTTGCCGGCTGCCCTCTGGCTGTGAGGTTTGAAACAGAGGACCTTGCTAGGCAGGTGCTCTACCTTGTGAGTCTCACTTGCAGTCCATTAATGCTTTACTATGTTTCCCCCTCTTGCTCTTGCCTCTAGTGGGGTGCAACTCCACACCCATATGCTGGTAAGATAGGATCTCGCTGAATACTCTCCCTTCCCCCCACTCCACAGTCTGGCCTTGAAGTACAACCCCCCCATTCTCTACCTCCTGCGTAGCTAAGATACACAGGTGTGAGCCACACCAGGGTTTTCTGCCCTGAACCTTCGGCTGTGTCTCTGAGTCGTCTTAACCCTTTACTGCCAAAGATGTCATTCCCTCGAGTGGTTATAGCCATTGTTTATTTCCTGACAAGGCCTCAACTTCTCTTTCCTAGACTCTAGGCATGGAGACTCAAGGTCCATGTCTAAATGCCACTTCTTTGGCCTCCCTAGCATCGTGCAGCCCCGTCTCACCTCCAGGATCTCCACCTTGGTAGATGACCTCAGCCCGCTCAGGTAGTGGTGGATACCTGAACGCCATCTACGTGCAGCCCATCACCAAATGCTGACATGTCGGTCCCTTAAGTCCTTCAGTCTGTCTCAGCTCCATACCCACAGGCACTGACTCCGTAGGGGCCAGAATCTCCCTAGGGAGGGACCCCCCCCCCCCCCGCTGCTGATGTCCTCCCCCATTCTGTTCTCTGCATGGCAGTCAGACTGACCTGATTGCACTAGGACTCTAATTACCATGAAGCCATCTCTGGCTCCATAACCATCAAGGGCTCCCTGGTGCCTTGAAGATGAAATAAAATCTCCTCAATTCTGCCATGAAGTGCTTTCAGGATTGACTGGCTTCCCTCTTCAGTCGCTCATCTTACCACCCACCGCCTTCCTCCCTTCCCCTAAACTCTCCATCCATCTGCTTCCTCCTCCCCACGACCCTCGCCTCACGTGTTCCTTCACCGTGGACAGCGTGCGCTTTCCTCCTTGTGTACCATTGTGCGCCTCCCTTCCTCCTCCAACAGCTCACTCTACCCCGTCCGTATTCAACTTTCAACTTAGGCCTATGAGTCATCTCCTCCTAGAAGAGACTCGAGGTGGAGATGGGATCCTTTTCAATTCCACTAGTGTTGTGGTGATTCCCAGCATAGCCCTCATCTCCTTTTGTCCTCCATAACACAAGATCAGAGGAGGGAATCTGTGCTGAGTGGAAAATAGGTCTATGAGTTCTTTAGTATTTCTCCCTGTAGAAGTCTAGAATACATTTTGGTTTACCACCCTGTGTCCCCTACCATGGAATGTATCTTGAAGAGACAATTTGGACTGTTTCTGCCACAAGGAAGATGTGTAAGATGATAGTGTGTGTCACCCTGACTTGCTCAGCACACAATGCAAGGGGTTAAAAAGGGGTAAAAATTCTCCTAAATGTGGCTAATTGTGCGTGTTAGTCAAAACTGAATGAGAAAGTCCCAGAAGAGTGGAAACGATGCTACTTAACTCCTGAGACCACTCACAAGTGGCTGGGGGATCCTGCCACCAAGCTGTGAGCTCCCTCTTCCAATACACCTCAACTGTCACCTCCTGAGTGACCCAGGCCAGCTCAGAGTCACAGCTCAGAAGCCATTCCCACATTCCTGAGCACAGACAGGGTCCATGTTGTTCCAGGTTGCTGAGTTTGGGAAAACTCGTGATACAGCAGTAGCTAACCAATACATGAATGACATTTGTAGCCCAGCCTCTGTAACAGTCCTAGCACATAGCAGGGAGCTAATGAATGAATGAGTGAATGAATGAATGACTCAGGTAACCTGGGGTATCCACATAACCGGTAAGAAACCAGCTGTACAGACATGTTTGCGTCATTTCTTTCCTACTAAGCTCCACTCAGATCCCCTTATTTTCACTCAGACATCTCTTCTGCCTCTCTCCTCTCCCCCTCTCAGGTGTCTCTGCCCTTCCACAATCATGGCAAGAGCGGGGGTAGGGGGTGGGAAATGCCCTCTGCCCCATGCTGGACTCTCCAAGGCCAGGGTGAGCCACCTACCCGAGTGCAAAGACATCTGAGTGCTTGGAAAAGGGAAGCTTGTCCTCCTCTGTGTCAGGGGACAGCTGGCGGATGATCTCCGGAGCCAGGTGACACAGCCAGCCATTCTGGATGCGCAGTTTGTCCTCACGCCTGGAAGATCAAAGCGCAGACTGAGCCCTAATCCTAAACCCCCCAAGTCCTCTGCTGCTTTGGCTTTCCCCCACTGGGTTCTACCTGACCTTCAACTTGAGGCTGAGACCCAGTGGAAAGTGCAGGAAGAGAGAACTGGAATGAAAGCCCTGGGGAGAAACACTGGACACTCAAACCACCCCGGCTCCCACGGCCAACCATTACAGTCAATTCTTCTTTGTGATAGCTGTGTTCCATAGTACAAAGTCTTCAGGTATTAGAAGATATTGACATAGCAAACACTAAATCATTGTTCCTTGAGGAGATACATACCCATACACAAACCTCACATAAGCTGTAATTCACTTAGAAATCCTAAAAATAAACTCATGTACTAGATTCTTGGTCTTTGAAACAACCATGAACAAGACTAGCAAGATCCCTGGCCTTTGCTCTTTGGTAGAAGAAAGAGACCACAAATGAATTAAATACTAACAGTGGTGTTACTGAAAAATTTAAAACAGTGAAGACATCCAGGATAAGAAACGTCCTAAAGGAGAACTCAGAGCTAGCAACACAGAAGATTCAGCCATATGAACAAGGAGAGGAAGGGGAGGCTAGTTCCAAGGCCCAAGGCAGGCCTACACATCTAGAACTCTTAGGTTCTAAACTCTAAAGACCACCACCAGTATAAATGGAACCACCATGCATCCTGTGAGCTAAAACGCATACAGCTGACTCCTTACTGATAGGACTTGGCTGGTTCTTCCTTTATTCATGATAAACAACACTGCAACGAACATCTTTGGGTAGATACCAACTATCTCCCTTTACCAAGCTCTATTATTGTCCCTCAGAATAAACTCTTGGAAGAGGAGGGAGCCCAGGTCCCTTCTATATATGGCAAATCTTTAGCAAACCAGAGCTCTGCACTTGCAATGAACAGCTCAGTAGAACTTCCATGAGGTTTTCGCTGATTGAAGGAAAGGGCCAGTTACCACGGGGTAGATCAAGAGTGAGATCGTGTAGGACCTCCACTCCCCTGAAGGTCTTCTGTGGGGTCCAGAGGCTGCTGCATTCTACAAAGCTTCCAGAGTTTGTAGGTTTCTGACCTACGTGAGGTATGATACCAACCCCTTAAGAGTGCTCATTCACATTCCAGAACCCTGACTATCTTATCTGGATACCTTCAGGAAGAGCATTGTCAGAGTGGTCCAAGATGAGAGTTGCTCTCTGCTAATATGGTGGTCCAACATGGCTGTCCAACATGGCCACTCCTAACCACACTGCTATCCAGCATGATGACTACTATAACTGAAGAACAGAACTTATGACTTGGTTACATTTTAATTATAATTAAATATATATGGCCACTTGTGGCTAGTGGCTAACAAGTTACATAACCCAATCAAATCCAGACAATTATGAACTAAATATGAATTTTAACTTAAATATGGTTTATTATTTGTGATGCTAGGGATCATGCCAAAAGTATTTTACATGCTAGGCAAGTACTCTACCACAGAACTATACTTCTGCCCTTAGATTTCTGAGGCAAGTTCTCACTATGTAGCTCAGGCTGGTCTGGAAATTGCTACGGAGACTAGATTGGCCTTAAACTCCTGATCCTTATGTCTCAGCCTCCCTAGTGCTGAGACACTTGCCTAAATATGTTTTCGTAAGTCTTCTTTGCACAGCCGTAAGTGGAAAGTGGTGTTGAAATGTCCCAGTTAAAATGATAAATGCTTGCACATGCCTTCCCTGAAGTCCACCTGCAGGCAGACCACAGATTCAGAAACATCAATAGAGGAAAGAACTCGGAGGAAGCCTCCAGGGATCCAGAGCTGGGGAGGGGGGAGGAGGATGGGTCCAGTGCTGCTGTCCCATTCACTAGCTGGGAGGGGGGAGGTGAGAGGCTTGGTGCATTTCAGAATTGTGCTCTCCAGGTGGTCTCAGAGCACAGAAGGCCCATTTGGATATACGGTGATTCGGATACATTCCCTAACAGCAGCCGTGGGAAGGGAACACGGCTGGTAACTGCTGTAATCTCAGCCTTCCTGTTTGGATGTTCCGGGTGTGCTACCCCAGGACCTGGCCACTTGTCTACCCCTTTCATTTCCATGCCAAAAGCACACTGGCAGAAGGGACAGAAAACAATGCAATTAGATGGATACCAATGATGAATCTGTTGAAATCCAGGGCTTCTCAACCTAGGTATGACTGACAAATTTAAGTCTGGATGATTTCTCTGCTGTGATGCTTAGAAACACTGTCTCTGGTCTCTACACACTAGATGCCAACACACCTTCCACGCCAGCTACAACAACTAAAACTTATCTCCAGACATCATCACATGACCCTGGCTGAGAAAATGGCCCCTGTTGAGATGTTTCTGTCCTAATGTATATAAAGTAAGGGAATGGTTCAAATCTAGAGTTTCAGCATCAGTGACCTCTTCTTGGAACATGGTAGAGACATTCTTCTCTAGAAGAGGACTTGAGCTCTCCCTCCACAGCAAACCCCAGAATGGGCAGGGTTGGAAGATGCTTGCTTCTAGAACTAGAGCACCTGTGGGGCTTGATGACCCACTGGTTGCTTTCCGGTTATGAAACCTCTAACCAACCCAGGCCTCTATTTTCCTGCCTGTTAAATGGGCACATTAGTCTGTACCACAGTCAGCCCTCAAAAGGACTGAGATCACTTATTATATACAAGGTTATTTCAGTGGCCAGGGTTGCGTGACATCCTCACATCATGATTGGCTTGTGAATATAGATGTTAGCTTGTATACACATCTATGTCTATATGTGTGTGCATTCACACCTATGCACACACAGAGATAATACACATTTTATCCTGAAGACTCAGAAATGGAGTTGAGGGTAGGACCCCCAATAAGAATGTCCTCCAAGGGACTGCGAAGGTGGCTCAGTGGTAGAGTGCTTGCCTTGCATGCCTGAGGCCCTGGGTTCGATTCCTCAGCACCACATAAGCAAAAAGAAAAAAGCCGGAAGTGGCGCTGTGACTCAAGTGGTAGAGTGCTAGCCTTGAGCTGAAGAGCTGAGGGACAGTGCCCAGACCCAGAGTTCAGGCCCCACGACCGGACCCCCTCCGAAAAAAAAAAAAAGAATGTCCTCCATGAAAGAGGGCATTGGGTTGGGAAGGTGGCTCAGTGGTAGAGTGCTTGCTTTGCATGCATGAGACCCTGGGATTCCTCAGCACCACATAAGCAGAAAAAGCCAGAAGTGGCGCTGTGGCTCAAGTGGTAAAGCGCTCGCCTTGAGCTGAAAAGCTGAGGAACAGCATCCAGGCCCAGAGTTCAGACCCCATGATTGGCAAAAGGAAGGAAGGAAGGAAGGAAGGAAGGAAGGAAGGAAGGAAGGAAGGAAGGAAGGAAGGAAGGAAGGAAGGAAGAGGGCATTGGAAAGACTAGCCTTCTCCAGGTATACATGGCCAGGCTGATGGGGCATGGTGGGTTGGGAAGCTGTGGTGGACACAAGAACAAATTACCCAATGTACCTGAGTTTCCACCATCACAACACCTCCACTGCTGCCGCTGCCCTGCTGGGTCAGTAGAGGACTGGCATGGGGGGGGGGGGAATGTCACTAGGACACACGGAGGAGTGGAGGCCACACAATTACCATCAGCCTGGGGCCGCGTGGGCAACTTCTCTGGAGGAAGAAACCAGAAGCCAGGCCTGGTGTAGACACACCGGGGCGTCCGGTTTCCATGGTGACGGGCCCACCAGTGACAACACGAATCATCTTCATTGTGGTTATTATTACGATTAATAACAGGCTACACACGTACGGGCAGCTGGCACCGTGGGGCTGGCATCTTAACCAACACATCTTCTTGAGGACAGCCGAGTAGCTGTATGCTGAGATGTCTGGATCTGAGAGCTTGGTCGGCTGCCTCCTCCCTCCCAAGCCACTGTTGAGTGCCTACTGTATGCCAGGCTACTGCTGAGTGCCTACTGTATGTGGGGCTGTCTGTGCCACCCCTAACGCCCTTCGAGGACCCCAGGGTGTCCTTTAAAGAATTCAGGGGCTCTTCAAAGCAACTGAGGGTTCAAGTGAAGTGAGAGAAACCAAAGGCTGTGTTCCTGCAGCAACAGGACACTCCTCCTAACCCACAGGACGAGAAGAAAACACACAGGGGTTTAGAATGCACGCAAGCACACACTCCAAATTAAAAGTCACAGGACAGGGCCTCTGAATTATGGGTTGTTTATAAGGGACCAAGCTGTTTCTCACATGGTCAACTTAATTCAGCTTGCTCTGGGGCTAACTGCCTCAGAGAGTTAATTACTTAAGGTTGGTTAATCATTCTCTGGGTGATACTGAGGAAGGGATATGCAAATTAATGCTAATTATAACAACTCTCTCAGCGCTACTATTTGTCAGGCGTTTGAAGTGAACGAGGTGTGGCGCTGGGTGCTTGCCGAGCATGTTCCTTTGTATCGTTACAAGGACCCTAGGAGGCAGGCACCGTTTTCTTAGATCAAGGAAGCTCAAGTTCCTAAGTTGTGCATCTGGATGGAAGTCCAAGGTAATAAGTGGCAGAGCCCGGGGGCCGCAGCCTCACTCTAAACCTGGTTCTTCGGCCTGCACTCCTGAGGTGCTAGAATGAATGATGACTGAGCTAAGTGGGGCAGGGGCTCTTGCGTGACCCCATCCTTCCAGGTGAGGACTCAAGTAAGGGGAGAGTCCTTGGACCAAACTTAAGGGCAAAAGCTTTGCAGGATTTGGGGGTGCTCTGTGCCCAATGCCTGCCCCCAACACAGGCAAGCAAGGAACATCCTTGCCATTTACAGAACAGGCAAGCAAGCCACATAGGACTAAGTGCGTAAGACTGTACTGCCATCTACTCAGGAGGCAGAGATCGAAAGGATGTCAGTTTGAGGCTGACCCCAGGCGAAATCTTGACACCCAGTACAAAAAAAAAAAAAAGCATAAAAAGCATTGAGGGTGCAACTCAAGTGGTAGAGCCCTTATCTAGCAAGTGCAGAGGCCTGAATTCCAATCCCAGTGCCATCCAAAACCAAGGGGCAACAAAGCATGACCTGGAAGCATGCCAGCCTCCCAACGCGGGACAGTGACCAGAGGCTCCACTCAGCTGCAGGCCATGGAGGCCGCATGAGAGGTCACCCTATCACCGGGGGACTCTCCCACCTCCTCCCACCCTCGCACCTGCCAGCCTGCAGCACCCCGGAAATGCTGAAGAGCCCGAAGTCCGTGATGACCACTTTGCCATTGTCGTAGAAGACGTTCTTTGACTTGAGGTCCTTGTGGAGGATGCCCTTGGCGTGCAGGTAGCCCATTCCCTGCAGGAAGCAGAGGAGGGAGCTGTCACAGGACACCCTAGCACCAGCTGCCGCCCCGACTTCTGCTATGAGGCAGATGAGTCTAGGGTCAGTCCGGTCTGGTCCCTGGAGTCTGGAGATGGGATGGAAGGAGGCGCAGCAAGCAAGACCCAGCTCCCCCCTGCACCCCCCCTTCCATAGACCACTGCAAAGCCATATCCTCTTGATTGGTCTGTTCCCCAAACGACACAGCCGTGGGATGAACAGGGACAATGCGGGAGTGACGTTCTCAGAGAAAAGGGACTCCCTTCTGCCATGGCTCCCACTCCCCTTCAGAGATGGAGCCCCCTTCTTTGTTCAGCTGGCACCCCTGAAGCATGCCTAGATTTTCAGGAGAAGGTTTGCGAGAGCCCAGAAGAGCCCAGAGGAGAGTCTACCAGAGGTCTAAGTCAAAGGCAGATGTGCAGAAACTTATTTTTGCCTTCATGAGCAAGTCCCATTTTTTTAATTGCTTCTTTGCGGGACTAACGCTTCCAATGGCAAATAAGATGCCTGCTGGGAATCGCAGGATGTTCCTTTTTTGCCTGAATACAAACAACACCCAAGGATTTGTTTCTCCAGCTGCAGCGGGGAGGAGAGATGGCTCGCACTTTGGGGAATTCCAAGGACTCAGATAATGGATCAGGAACCAAGGGGCCTTGGCCATGTCTCTGCACCTGCCAGCCCTCACACGGGAGCATGGACACAGACCAATGGGCTGGAGATAATTGCTAAATGCGGCATCTGAAGAACTCTTTTGCACATGACACCTAGTACTTTTTAAGTGGGGGATGAGACCATGAGTCTCACAGTCTCAAACCTGTGGGGTTTCTCAGGAGGGGCTGGGGGGAGGTCTTTCTGAGGTTCAGGAGGAGGGAGTGTCCCCAAATACCTTCACAATCTCCTGAGCAATCTGCCTGGTTTTGTTGACATCCAGGACAATCTTGGCGTCCCTCACCACCGAGTAGAGCGTCCGACCCTTACAGAGGCTGCAAAGTAAAAAGTCAAGGTCATTTCTGGAAGCGGTCAGCAGTCATGAAGAAGGTGACCACAGTTATGAGAGGTCACACATGATGGATGTCACTTGCCACTGGAGATCATGACCAGGACCTGGGCTGGACGCTGGAGCTGGTTCTGGGGTGTGTGTGAAGATCTGGAAAAAAAAGTTCTCGTAGATTCTTTAAGGATTGCCACTGAACGTACCCATTTCCCATCCACCCAGGGTGTCACGGGCAGAAAGTCACGCACACACTGACAATCTCTGTGTCCCCTGACCCTACTCAGCGAGCACTAGGGGCAGCTGCTGGCACTTGCCAGGGGTCCCCTGAGAACAGGGACAGTGACAACAGACCAGCCAAGCTTCGGCTGACAGGGGCCAAGTACCACCGGCAAATGATACACTCAATCCTTCAGAAGGGGGTGTGTAAACACCAATAAAACCAGCCCGGACCAGACACTTGTCTAGATAGAAGGGTTTTCAGCCTCATTGGCTTCATCAGGAGGACCAGCGGTTGAGGATGAACGACAGGATGACAAAAGACATCGTGCAGAGACAGCAACACCTCCTCATTAACTGCCTGCGCGTCTCTCTGTCCTGTCCTCCCCTGGGAGGCTCAGTGCCAGCACACACAAAGCAGGCGTGCAATAAACAGTGGCTGAGTAAATGAACGAATGAATTCTGGTTTCACCGTGGTCTTCTCAGTCCGAGCGTTATTGTTGGACCTTGCTGACATTCAAGTTCCTGTGTCTGAATCCCAGCACGGCTCCCTGTGTGCCTTTGGCTGGGTTACTTTACCTCTCTGAGCCTCATTTTGCTCACCTCCTGAAGGAAACCAGTGAGACTTAGCCTTGTCGTTTCTTTGGGGATTTGGAGAGGATAAAGTTTTGTACAGTGGGTGTCTGGCACCCGGTATGCATTCCTGCACACTGCTCAGGATCATGAGGGGCCTAGAGTCAGACTCCATGGTGCTAGGATCTGATCTGTCATATACTGGATGTGTGGCCCTGGGAGAGAAAGTTGTCCTCGCTGAACCTCAGTGGTATTATCTGTAGAATGGGGCCAACAGTAACTTGTAAACTCAAGTATGTAAAGACATAGCTCCTCTCCAGGCAGAAAGACTCCATGCAAGGCTCATCCACTATGAGAGGCAGTAAATAAATGATCAATAAAGTGGTCTCTCTCTCTCTCTCTCTCTCACACACACACACACACATACACACACACACACACACACACACACACACACACTCCTGCAAATACAGAAAGCTCCAGTTATACATCTGTCTATCTATGATCTCTGTCATCTCTGCCTCTAGTCACCTGCTACTCTCATACCCTTCAAAATACCTGTGACCACCCATGCTGTTTGACTAAGATTAGCTCTTCACCTGCTGAAGGTAAGCCTCCCAAGGCAGAGAGCTGACTCACGGATGGTCTGATTCACCTGTCAAGGTCGCCCAGAAAGTCCGCAAGGGCACCCCCTCCCCCGCCCCGTGACTCAAGGCTGCCCCCCCCCATCCAAGGCAGCGTGTTTTGAAGCTGGCCCAGCAGCGGTTGGAGGCAGGGTGGGCTGAGCAGCCAATTAAGCCATATTGACATTTAAGCATTGGCGATGGCGGAGGCCGTGGGTGGATTTCTGTCCCCTGATGCCTCGTTCTTGCGCAACCACCTACACTCATTACCGGCCAGGGCCTCCCACCGCTACAGTTCCCAGACTGAGTCCCCGGCTCAGGGTGGCTGAGTGAGGGTGAACGGCTCAAGTGCCCTTCCCTGATCTCATCCTCCCGCAGTGGGGTCTTCGCCTCCCTTCCTCCCCGCCGGGCCCTGCGCCACAGGAAGCAAACTCACTCCATTCCGGGTTGGGGTGTAACTTTGTGCAACCCCGGTTTGCTGCATCTGCAAGTGGAAAATAGGCAAATGGCCCCAGATAAGCCATTCCTCCCCTCTCCCCAGGCGCCCTAGCGGCACCTCACATGCATCCAACCTAGACAAACGCTGAACCTAGCAAACGCCGAGAGCAGGCATTTATCAGCCCCACGCTGGAGCCAACTGGGAAAGAATGAATGTATCCCCCAATTTCCTATGAGGAAATTCTAACCCCAATGGGGTGGTGTTAGAAGTTGGGCCTGTGGGGGGTGGTCAGCCATAAGTGAGATTAGCAACTCTTATAAATGGGACCCCAGGAAATGCAGAATAGTCAAGAACATTAAATAAGGAATTAAAAGGGAGTCCAGGGAGCCCACCCTCTCACCACCAGAGGCTGCAGGGTTGGGGGGGGGGTTACTGTCTGCCAATGAAAGAGAAACCCCACCACAGCCAAACCATGCTGCTGTCCTGCTCCAATCCCAGACTTCTGCCCTCTGGAACTGTGAGCAATAAATATCTGTTGTTTCTAAGCAGTCTCTATACTTCCTTACAGCAGCCTGAACTAAGCTACAACCCAAATGTTAAGTCACAGCAAACTAGATCAACAGTGACGCATAAGAAAAATACACACCATTGCCTCAAATCAAAATAAACAAGCTCTACTGCCAGCACAAACAGGAGAAAGGGAGGGGAAATTAAAAGGAGGACCGTGAAGTAGACAGGGATTAAAGAAGTGGTGGACCTATCACATAGCAGGTAACAAGTGGTTCCATCATGGAGCTTCTTGCTCCCATAATGCTTTGGGTTTCCACACAAATGCTTCTTCTTTCCATAATGTCCTGGGTACCTGCTCAACCAATGCAGAGAGTCACAAGCCATCAACCAATCAGCACAAAGCCCAGGGAGAGGAGAAATGGGAGGAGTGGTGTAATATAATAACCCCACCCCCCAGCCCCACGGTTGTACTCTACTTTTGGCTCCCTCTTCAAATAGAGAGGCTCTGTTCCCTACTTTCATGGCTGTCCTTTGTCCTCTTTTAAAACACTTTCCTGCCTTTCAAATTCTTGAACAGGGAGAAGAAAAAAACAAACCCATACTCCTACATGCCATCATTGGCCAGACGCTCAGGCTACCTAGAGTCCATTGTATAAAGTACACAAATAGAAAAATAACATTTTTACCTCCTTTAAATGATCCAGCCTGTGGAATTCAAGGGCTATAGTTAAGGATAACAAATGGTCTACTTGGAAGGTGAGCTACTGGCATACAGGCATGATTTAATATCTCCTCTGCCTCAATCCTCACCCCTCTGTATTGCACCCCATCTCCCTGCTTCCTGCCTGATCCCACCATTGTTTAGGAGCCTAGGCCCCTGGCAGATCTCCTTGACCAAGAATGACCAGCCCTGCTCCCAGAGACTCTGACTGGAACATGAGAAATGGGATTGAATAATTTGATATTTCTAAGGCTGGTAGTTGCAGAAAGTTCAAGGGTGGCCGAGAAGGCCACTCTGGGGAGGAAGTGTTGATGCTGAGAGCTGAAAGAAACCAACTGTGTGGGCATCTTGGGTGGAGACAGTGCAAAGGTCTTAATCCTGCAAAAGTGCAGGATTAAGTTCAGCATGTGCTAGGAAGGCTGGACTCCACAGAGCATGTCCCATTGCTTGCCCATTGCTTGACCTCCAACTAAAAGACACAGTGAGAAGATCCCAGGCTCTTAACTGCGTTGAGCACAAAGGCAGTTCATTTCAAAATCAGTTAATGAAAAAAAGAAAGGAAGAAAACCAACAACCTGGGTTGTCAGGAAGGATTTAAAACTCTCCGCTATTCACCGGAGAGGAAGCATTCCTGCACTTCTTCACACCCAGATCCCATCTGACTGTCCCATGCTCTTCCTCCCTCCCTCGAGCAAACAAATCATATTCCAAGTGACAAGTTGCTCACTCCATCAAATTCCAGCCTCGGGCAACGGCCCAACTTCCAAACCCTTCACGATTCTAACAGTGAAGATATTAAAATCTGGGGACTCTGGGGCTTTATAATAAAAAATGCCAGGTTAGCTTCTTATAAAAATGGGAAATGCCAGAAAGCAAGTGAGAAACGCCAGCTGCTTGCCACCTGCTTACCCCAATGCGCACCCAGGAAATGAAGCGCTATGGACTTCCATTAAGTAAGGGGCTGAAGGCTCTCTCCAGCATACAACCGCGCGTGCGAGGCCGCAAGCCCAGACACCCACGAGAAGTTGGACTTGGCCCTCGAGGAGGTGACCTGCTCCTCCTCCTCCTTCACTCTCTTCACATGCTTCTCCTTGTTCTTCAGCCCCAGTGGGTCTGATTTTGTTATGTGAGGGGCCCTGAAGTTGGCTGCTTCCGGCCCCTTGAAAGATTGAGACGTGGAGTTCTGGCTGTTGGGTCCCGATCTTCGCCATCTTTGATTACGAATCCGTGCCGCTAGACACAGGGCTGACATTGGTGGCTATGCAGAGATTCTCTGCCTCTCTGTGCCATGGCCCTGCCCAAAGGCTTCATGGAACATGGGACAGGCTCTCCTATTTGGAGCTTATTTTCTCAGCCTCTCCTGGGTCAGTCTGCCTGTCTCCTTCAGGCTCCCCTCCAACACGATCATTCCAGATCATTGGCCACGTTGGCCAACTCTTTTATTTCCTCACATGCTCACTTCCCGTGCACTGAGTTTGAAAACTCAAGTGTCTGTGCTATGGCTCAAACTTGTCTCCTGCAAATTGCTACGCCCGTGCCCCTGGAGGTGAGGTGTTTAGGAGGTGACTAGGGTTAGATGAGATCTGGAGGGTGGGGCCCCCAGGATGGCCTTAGTGGAATTATAAAACAAGAGGACGGGAGACCTGAGTTAGCACGCTTGTCCAATCCCACCATGGGAAACACTCCGCCATGTTGGGATGCAGTGGGCCGCCCTCACCAAGATGCAGTACCACGCTCTTGATTTCCAGCTCACAGCCCTGAACTAAACAAATCTGTATTTGGGGGCTGGGGTGTAGCTCAGTGATAGAGCCCTTGCTTAGCACACACAAGGTCCTGGGTTTGAACCCCAGCACCACAGAAAGAAGCCAAACCCACCAACAATCCTTTATGCTTTATAAATGACCCAG